AGGCAAAGTAAGGGTTGGTCAAGATGTTTACAACCTTCTCATGGGTTTCGATCCTACTCAACTACATGCACCTGAACTCTATCAAGCCCACATCATTCAGGCACATGGGGCCATGTGTTCGGACCACAGGTTCAAACTTACAACTATAGCTGTTGGCTATAATTGTGCTGGGAGGGCCCTGCCCTCCAAGCTGGGACTTGCACGTGGCCATGAGAGGTCTGTGCCCTCTCATTAGTCTGAGGCTTGAACCTGTCCAAACACTATAGCCACACTCCACATAAGCCTATAGATCAGTGGTTCTCAACCTTCCTAATACTGTGACCCTTTAATACAGTTCCTCATGTTGTGGTGACCCCCAATTTCATTGTTACAAATTGAACATAATTAAAGCATAGTGATTAATCACAAAAAAAATATGTAATTATATGTGTTTTCTGATGGTCGTAGGCGACCCCTGTGAAAGGGTCGTGACTCACAGGTTGAGAACCGCTGCTATAGATCAGAACTATGTAGGAGTTATAAAGAAATGTGGAGATTGCCGAAACCAGTTTGGCTCAGTGGATAGAGCGTCGGCCTGCGGAGCATGTACCTGGGTTGCGGGCACATCCCCAGTAGGAGCTGTGCAGGAGGCAGCTGATCGATGTTTCTCTTTCATCGATGTTTCTAACTCTCTATCCCTCTCCCTTCCTCTCTGTAAAATATCAATAAAATATATATTTTTTTTAAAAAAAAAGAAATGTGGAGATTAAACTCTTCCCTCCATCACACAATTTTACTATTAGTCTTAAGGACAGAATTAAACATGTGCACTCTGTATAAAGGGGGAAAGTGCATCAGCACTAGAGTCCTTAGAAGGAGAACCCACCCTTCCCCAGTCTGTGCAGGGAAACTACTGGCTTAAAGAGGAGAGACAGAAAAACATTTCAGAAAAAGGAGAATAACTTTCAAGTTCAAGCTGTCAGAACATTTTTTAAATATATGAGCATATTTTTCAGTTGGAAATTGTTTCACATCTATTGCAATCACTGGCAAAGATATAGAGTTTATTAATCATGGACTACAACTTCCCATTATATTTTAAAACACAAATGGATAAGACTTAGATGCACTTTAATAAAAATTAAAGGGTCGAGCCCCTTTAATAAAATTTTAAACTTTTTTCTCAAAAAACCTAATTTTCTGTTTCCTCATAACCTCATTGTGCCAAGATGAAAATAAAAACAATTAGAATGAAAGCAATTCACCATTCACCTGACTCTGCACTGTCAACTGTGTAGGCAGGCTGTGGGTTTCCCCAAGGTTGCCCAGTGAAATCCCAGAGGCAGAGAAGGGCTGTGGCTGTGTTCAGAGGCTGGAGGCTGCTCCCCGCCGTCACTGCCAAACTAATCCCAGAGGCTGATCTGTCTGTGTGAGCTGGGCTGGAACTGGTGTTTCAGGCCATGGGACTGTTTGTGTGTGACTGTGATATTGGGGTGGAGTCCCTTGTCTCTGTTGTTAGGCGATTCATCAGAGAAGGGTTGTGTTGAAGTCTTGTCCCCAAAGGCTGTGGGAGGTGCTGCTGCTTCAGTCTCCTGGGACTGCTGAGGCAATCAGGGTGTTGGAATGGGCCTGGCAGCCATCTTCCCTAACAAGTGACTGGCTGATAAGTTTTTATAACTCACTTCTCAGTGTCTCTTGAAAAAGTGATATGTGATTAATTTAAAGTAGGTCCCACTCTCAAATAGCTTGTCTGCCCACAAAGCACAGTGAGGGTTTGGGCACTCTGCTCGATGCCAGTAAAGACCCCACTCTAGGGACCCCATATCCTGTTACCTCTCTTTGCTCTTAAAAGACATTGAACTTTGGTGTTTGGCAGAACAAATGTTCTGGTCAGAGGCATGCCTGTCCCTTCCTCTCCAGAGGCTTCAGTAACCCTGAGGCACCAAGTACTGAGGGAAACCTGTTTATGGCAGTTTGCTTGGTCCTCTTCTCACTACCCCCAAGTTCTTTCCTTTTAGCTCAGGATTTGGTTGGGGATGCAGGCAAGCAGGGAGAGGACGGGAGAAAGTGAAGCTCAGGCAGGACTGTGTCCCAACACAACTGAAAAGCAGGGGAAGTTTGTCCTTTTTGGGTTCTCCATGCTGCCCATGTCACCTGCCCATGTCAGCAGGTCTGGGATGTGTGGGTTTTTTACTTCTGCAGGAAAGAATTCAAGTCACAAGCCCAGCTGATTTTGAGAGTATGTTTATTAAAGGTTGGGACAGTGACACAAAGGAAGAGCTTTGGATAGAAGAAGCAAGATCACAGTAACAGAAGTGACCCTAGACTGGGCTGCCTAACTCAGAAAAGGAAGTCCCAGCAACAGATGTGAACCTAGACTTGGCTGCTAGATCACTGAGAAGTAAAAGTGTGAGAGATAACAGTGAGCCAAGTGGGGGCTGCTTTTGGCTCACTGAAAAGTTAGACAAGAGGAGGACCCTGGAAACTTAGGAGAAAGAAAGTAAATCACACACCTGAGGAAAGGGTGGCGTTGGTATGCTCAGGGGAGAGCATGTCTTGAGGATTTTATCTGTTTTCTGTAGAAGGGAATTTTAGGGGAGGTCTTCATCAGAATATTCATCAGCTGTTTAGGCATGTATTTTAACATGCTTATGTATCAAATGAGAGTATAGTGGGGTTTGGGAACATTCTCTGGTCATCTTTAGCTCTATCTTGGATTTGTCTGGCTCTAATTGGGTTTTTTGTTATTTATTCCCCTGACTTCATTTGTTCTTGGGTTTGGTACTAATGGCACCACAGGGTCTCTGTTATCTGTCTCCCTGATCACGGTGATTTTAGCTCCTCACTCTCTGTTTGGTTAGGTGTCCTTCCCTAAACAAGGACACCTGCTCCTGTGTTTCCTTGGTTAGGCAAGATAGAGTCTTATGATTTACTAGAGGCCCGGTGCACAAAATTCATGCAGGGGGGTGAAGGGGGTGTCTCTCAGCCCAGCCTGCACCCTCTCTAATCTGGGACCCCTCAGGTGATGTCTGACTGCTGGCTTAGGCCCGATCCCTGCCTAAACCGGCAGTTGGACCTCCCTCTCGAAATCCAGGACTGCTGGCTCCTAACCGCTCGCCTGCCTGCCAGCCTGATCCCCCAAACTGCCCTCCCCTGCTGTCCTGATCCCCCTAACTGCTCACACCTGATGACCTGATCCCCGTAACTGCTCTCCTGCTGGCCTGATCACCCCTAACTGCCTCTGCCTTGGCCCTACCACCATGGCTTTGTCCGGAAGGACGTTGGTCTAATTAGCATATTACCCCTTTATTAGTATAGATAGAGGCCTGGTGCACTGGTTGGGGCTGGCTGGTATGCCCTGAAGGGGGTCCTGAATCAGGGTGGGGATCCCCTTGGGGAACGGGGCCGGCCTGGGCGAGAGGCCACAGGGGGTTTGCAGGAGGGCCATGACCCCATCAGGGTGGGTGGGTCTCTGCTGGGGGTGGGGCCAGCCTGGGCGAGGAGCTGATGGCCATTTGCCGGCTGGTCATGCCCCCAATGGGGTGAGGGTCCCCTGATGGGGTGGGGTGGGCCTGGGCAAGGGCTGATGGCCATTTGCAGGCTGGCCACACCACCATCTGGGTGAGGATCCCTGCTGGGGGACATGGCCAGCCTAGTCGAGGGGCTGAAGGCCATTTGGGAGCAGTTTGCAGGCTAGCCAAGCCCCCAGCTTTGTCTGGAAGGATGTCCGAACAGTCTCCAGAAGGTCTCTGGTCTAATTAGCATAGTACCCTTTTACCAGTATAGATTAGCTGGCTGTTGATTGCTTGGCCCTTTGTTTAAATATTTTGTCTCCATTTTCCTTATATGCCAGAAAATTTCCCTAGTTTTTTATTAACCTGCCTCATCCACTTTTCTTCTTCCTTAAGTCCTCAGGCCCTTCTGGTTACCAAAACTGTTTCTAAGATAGGCTCTAGAGCACATGCCCAAGCATAACCCACTGACAGCTGTTTAAAGAGCTAATCTCTCCTGGAGAGAGTGCTTTGGAATAGGGACCAATACCTCCAAAGTGAAGGCATATCCGTGGGTTTTAAGGATTATCAGTAAGCTAGAAGCAGAGCTTACCTGGGACTCTACCTGCCTTGTTTGGTAACCACTACCAAACCCAGTTGTGCTGGTGAGCCCTGAGAGAAGCCAAGAGAGTTTGCATGGTTAGTGTCTCCAAAGTGAGATCAGAGAATGCATTTTTAGACCAGGAGGGATAATAAAAAGACCTTGGGCCTAGGTGTCAGTCACTGTTTTAGAAAGACTGTAGAGATGATAAGACAGTTATTCTTCTCTCGGAAGGTTTAATCAAATGGAGAAACAATGAGATCAATTAACCATCTAAGGAGTGATGCTTATCAGTGAAGATAATCAGTTTTGCAGCTGTGCTACAAGGAACAGAATATTGGGGGCTCCTGATTAGTCTCTTGTGAACAGCTGAGGATGAAGTAAGGAGAAGCCCAGGAAATATGGCAAGGATAGTTCTGAGGGTTAGTAGCTGGGAGGTTGAGGTCAAGGGCAGTGGGTACTAATAGCTGTCACATGACCTTCTCTATACGTGCTTTCCTGGTTCTGTGAAACCTATGAATAACCTACTTATTGGCATGGCATCCTTTCATGAAACCAAATTATGTGGGTAAATAGACAGGGCAGGGGAACAGCATTCTGCTGGAGACCACATCTACTCTGCGGGGTTCTTCCAAGGCAGTTGTTGGAGTTGCCCCATAGATCAGAAACAGCGTCTTTTGGATCCAGATCATATATGTGAACAATGAAACCTTGGTCCTATCATGGGCAAGAGTAAGAGCCATGAGCATCAGAAAAAGGGCCGCTTTGGGACAAAGGGCCATATTTACCAACATCAAAAATTGTCTCTTGGAACAAATCTTTAATCTACTCCAGTGGGTAAATATTTGATCTAGTCATTCCTAAGAAAAAGGTGAATTTCTTTGTTTGCCAAGGGCAGTGTCCTTGGTTTGCATATCTCTGCCAGGATTAGGGATCTTTTGAACTAGTTTCCCCACCCAGTTCATTTGATCGCTATATAATCAGAACCAGTGGGATCTAGTGCACACAGCAGGAACCCATCTCCAGGAACCAAGAGCTGAAACCATCTTCAGTTGGAGGAACTCTTCCAGATTTTGGTAAGATTCTTACCCCTGGGTAATCTATCACTGTATTTTTTAAATATATACATACTATTTCTAGACATTTAGCTATTTCAATGAAACAATTTTTCCCCCTTTAAGCACTATGGGCCCAACTTATGAACTAAGAAAGAAGGAAACAGATTCTACAGCAGTGGTTCTCAACCTTCCTAATGCCTCGACCCTTTAATACAGTACCTCATTTTGTGGTGACCCCCCACCATAAAATTATTTTCATTGTTACTTCATAACTGTAATATTGCTACTGTTATGAATCATAATGTAAATATCTGATATGCAGGATGTATTTTCATTGTTACAAATTGAACATAATTAAAGCATAGTGATTAAACACAAAAACAATATGTAATTATATATGTGTTTTCCGATGGTCTTAGGCGACCCCTTGAAAGGGTCGTTTGACCCACAAAGGGGTCGCGACCCACAGGTTGAGAACCTCTGTAAGTTTAAAAGGAAAGCAGATTTCTTTGGCACTGTGTGTGTGTGTGTATGTGTGTGTGTGTGTGAGTGTGTGTGTGTGAGTGTGTGTGTGTGTGAGTGTGAGTGTATGTGTGTGTATGTGTGTGTATGTGTGTGTGTGTGTGTGTGTGTGTGTGAAGAGAGATCAGTAAGACAGGGAGCAAGTGGAGGTTTCGGAGGGATTCCTGAATTGTGATAAAATCCCCAAAGACCTGGGAGGCCATTTGCTGAAGGGCGTCTGGATGCCCCCAGAAACAGCCATTAAATGTGGCAGAGCAAGGAAAGAAACAAAAAGAATGCTTTTAGCTCTGTTTTCTTCTAATTGTCCTACTAATTTTTTTACTTAAAAAAAGTTTTGATTGCTCTTTAAGAGCCAAGTGGAACACATCCAAGATCAAAAGAAGGTTCACTGGCAGGATGAAGGGAAGAAAGAAGGAAAAGAGATAAAGGGAGGACTATGTCTTGAGTGTTATGCCTTCACTTTGTGGGATACTGCCCTAGAACCGTGGTCGGCAAACTGCGGCTCATGAGCCACATGCAGCTCTTTGGCCCCTTGAGTGTGGTTCTTCCAGAAAATACCACAAATACCACATGTGGGCGTGCATGTACAGTGCAATTGAAACTTCTTGGCCCATGTGCAGAAGTCAGTATTTTGTGGAAGAGCCTTGTCCTAGGCAGATTCACTTACCCACCACAAATAATCTGTCTCATACTTGTTATCTCCCAAACTTCATTTTATGTCTTTTGGGGAAATTTAGAATTGAATATATGAGTCAGCAAGTTGTGAGGCGGGGAGCAGATATTAGACATTGGTGGCCATGGTTGTACTGGCTGGGCTTTGGTTTCTGGATGTCTTAGGAATTCAAGTTCACAATAAACCTGAGAAAAATTTAGCTAAGTTCTTACAGAATTAATGTGTAAATTCTACAGGTTTGAAGCAAAGATTTTCCTTTACCTCTCCAGACTGGGATGGATCTCCACCAGCAAGTGCCTTTGTAGGATATGAAGGCCCTGTGTGGCATCAGTCCAGGGACTTAAGTAGAGGTGGTGTGGGCTTATATTCTGAGCCTTAAGAAATGATATGTCTCAGTGAGATTGAATCTCAAGTCTTCTTATCATCTATTTCTTTCACCTGGTGCCTTCTGCTATCAACAAAACTTATACAAACTTGGTCTCATTAATTTCACTAGATTTTTGCTAGTAAAACAGGAAAATATTCTCTTATGCTTAAATAGAATCATGGAATTTCAGATTTTAGAGTTAGCAACTCTCTCATTCTATATATGAACAAACTTAAGCCTGGAGAGGAAAATGAAGTCAATCACTAAAAAAAAATACAAAAAAATGGAGGGTCTACTGTGAAGCAGGCACTGTGATTCAAGGTGAATAAGATGGGCTCTGCCCTCCTGTAGAGTGTACACCAGTAGGAAACACTGACAAGGGGACAGGTGATTGGATAACAGCTTGGAAATGGCACCCGTGGAAATTTGCAATAGGTGTATCTTTATTTTGTGATATCCTTGTGAGCAGATCCTGAGCTTTATGACTGTTGCTTTGACACTTGTATCTAATGGGGTATCCTTGGTCTCAATATCTAAGCACAGTGTTTGGACAGACACTAGACAGGCCCAGCAGCTCAGACTCCCTTCTTTGAACAACAATATCCCCACAACCTATAGAGCATTGGCACATGTTAAAAGGACCCATGGTCTCCATTACTGCATGGAAGATGTTGGCAACATTTCTATCCACCACTGCCACCTAATGACTCTTTTGGCTACTACAGCTCTGATTCTACTTTCTGATTTCGAACTCTGGGTTTCTGGCCCCAGGCAGAGAGGTGTTGACTTGGTGACCCTAAAGTCCTGTTCCATCTTAGGAGCCTGAGATTCTAAAATTACCTTTGACGTTGGAAGACAATATTTGTCTATTGAAAAACAAGAGACCTAAATGAATCCAACTCAATAAAACTTTGATGAGGTCTTCCACCAAACTAGAAAAAGAAAACACACCCAGAAGACTAAAAAGCACAATGTAAATGTAAAGAGCTTGGTAAATGGGAAGCATGGCAGGCCAGCAGCTGTGTTGAAGCAGTGGCCATGTATGAATACTTGTTATTCTTTTAGGGGTGGCTCTTCTCTCTTCAGTCATGTACCACTTTTTTTCTCAAGATCCAAGAACATGCTTTCACTTGATTCTATTATAAATTACTAGAGGCCTGGTACATGAAATGTGTGCATGGGAAGGGGGTGTCCCTCAGCCTGGCCTGCACCTTCTCCAATCTGGGGCCCCATAGGGGATGCCCGACTGCCTAGATCGGGCCAAAACCGGCAGTCGGACATCCCCCTCACAATCAGAGACAGCTGGCTCCTAACTGCTTGCCTGCCTGCCTGCCTGATCGCCCCCTAACTGCTCCCCTGCTGGCCTGATTGATGCCTAACTGCTCCCCTGCCAGCCTGATCGCCCCAAACTGCCCTCCCCTGCAGGCTTGGTTGCTCCCAATTGCCCTCCCCTGCAGGCCTGATCTCACCCCCAACTGCCTTCCCCTGCAGGCCTGATCTCTCCTCCAACTGTCCTCCCCTGGTGTCCTGATGGGCCACAACTGCCCTCCCTGCAGGCATGGTTGCCCCCAACTGCCTTCCCCTGTAGGTTTGGTTGCATCCAACTGCCCTCCCCTGCTGGCCATCTTGTCATGACCATCTTGTGGTGGTCATCTTGTGACGATGTGGGGGCAGCCATCTTGTGATGATGTCACGTGATGTCATCTAGGCTTTTATATAGGATAATTGATATTCTTAATGGAAATTTTTTCAGCTGTTATTTATTGTAATATGACCAAAAATTTTCTTTTTTTTTTTTCTTAACTAACCTTGTGATTTTTTTATTTTTAATTAAATCTTTATTGTTCAGATTATTACATTTGTTCCTCTTTTTCCCCCCCCATAACTCCCCTCCTCCCAGTTCCCGCCCCACCCTCGGCCCTCACTCCCCACCCACTGTCCTCATCCATAGGTGCACGATTTTTGTCCAGTCTCTTCCCGCATCTCCCACACCCCTTTTCCCCCCAAGAATAGTCAGTCCATTCCCTTTCTATGTCCCTGATTCTATTATAATCACCAGTTCATTCTGTTCATCAGATTATTTATTCACTTGATTCTTAGATTCACTTGTTGATAGATGCATATTTGTTGTTCATAATTTGTATCTTTACCTTTTTCTTCCTCTTCCTCTTCTTAAAGGATACCTTTCAGCATTTCATATAATCCTGGTTTGGTGGTGATGAACTCCTTTAGCTTTTCCTTATCTGTGAAGCTCTTTATCTGACCTTCAATTCTGAATGATAGCTTTGCTGGATAAAGTAATCTTGGTTGTAGGTTCTTGGTATTCATCACTTTGAATATTTCTTGCCACTCCCTTCTGGCCTGCAAAGTTTCTGTTGAGAAATCAGCTGATAGTCATATGGGTATTCCCTTGTAGGTAACTGAGTTTCTTTCTCTTGCTGCTTTTAAGATTCTCTCTTTATCTTTTGCTCTTGGCATTTTAATTATGATGTGTCTTGGTGTGGTCCTCTTTGGATTTCTTTTGTTTGGGGTTCTCCGCGCTTCTTGGACCTGTAAGTCCATTTCTTTCACCAGGTGGGGGAAGTTTTCTGTCATTATTTCTTCAAATAGGTTTTCAATATCTTGCTCTCTCTCATCTTCTGGCACCCCTATAATTCTGATGTTGGTACGCTTGAAGCTGTCCCAGAGGCTCCTTACACTATCCTTGCATTTTTGGATTCTTTTTTCATTTTGCTTTTCTGGTTGGGTGTTTTTTGCTTCTCGCATTTCAAATCACTGACTTGATTCTTGCGCTCCTCTGGTCTGCTGTCGGGAGTCTGTATAATATTCGTTATTTCAGTCCGTGTATGCTTAATTTCTAGTTGGTTCCCCAATATAAGATCGAGGGTCTCATTAGTTTTCTTGTAGATCTCATTAAGTTTATCGGCGGCTTCTAAACAGTTCTTGAGAGACCTTAAAAGTGTGGTTCTGAACTCTATATCTTCCATTGACAATTTTGTCCTGTTTCTTTGTCTCCGCATTTTGTTATGCTTCCTTGGTGCACCCCCTAGTGGTCTTTGTTCGCAGTCTTATAATTAAACCTTCATTGTTGTAGCTAATACCAGGGAGGGTTTGACCTCCAGGCCAAGTGGCTATGAGAATCAGCTGTGTCAGCAGTGAGAGAACTTCTGTCCTCTAGGGAGGTGCTAATCTAGCCTTTGCCTGAGGCTATCCGGCAAATGCCTCTGTGCAGGGCTTGGGCAGGGCGGGTCGAACAGGATCAACAGGGTGGGCCAGAGAGAGCAGTTATGGCGGCTCTCAGTCCTGTCCCCGTGGGCTCTGCCTCTCTGAGTCCCAGCACCCACTGCAAAGCTCAGAGAGAAAGCTGCACTCGCTCTGACCGAAGCCAGACAGTCCCGCTTCTCCCGTTTGAGTCTGGGTCCCTAAAGACTCGCCTGTATCTGGAGCTCAGAGTCT